CCTCTTCAAATCAGCTCCGAGATTAACCTGACTTTCCTGAGCAGATCGATTGATGGGCAAATCCGATACTTTTTCACTGCTTGACGAGTACGATAGGTTAAGCAAACGCTCGGCTAACCTCAACACTCTCATGGAATTGCTAACTCTGTAAACAACGCTCGAATCTCTTAAGAGTAGAATTTCTTTCACGATGCCATGAGTGAGATGGAAGGCCCACGAGAATACGTTTCTGTGTGTGGCATCCCACTGGAAAACTTCCAACGCTGTCCGAAAATACAGCAACGCCTTGGAAAGCTGGGAGTCTAAAACTGGGCTGGGACTTCGCCGTTTTGATAAATCACCAGGAGAAGATGAAAGCGCCCTAGCCGAACGAAGCGATTGTGGAATGCGGTCCGAATTTCGAAGAAGAAATTGAAAGAATTTTATCACAACGTTGACTGTGAGGTCCATTGCAGGGCCAACGTCTTGTTTCCAATTCATCCCACAAGCGGACCCCAAAGCAAGAGCAATGATGGAGAGGCTCTGGGCACGAGAGATAGCGTCTAGGCTTCCAGGTGTGTATTCTGGAAGGGAGCTGTCGAGTTCTGGGTCATGGAGTCCAAAGAAACTCATACCTTGATCTCCAGTTGCAAGGCCATAACCTTAACAACCAAAACAAACATAAAGAGCAATTTTCAATGTGTGCCGAAAGTAATTCCTCAATGCAAAGGTTTTCTTCTACTTCTGTTGTTTAGTTAAAAACAGTTTAAAATTTTTTATTCACTTGTTGACCCTTACTAGCATCGAACTTCTACAAAATCGCCCCTGAATCAAACCAGTAAGGTCACGAGAAGGAAGGAAAAGATTACTGGCTAAAGAAGCTCTTAATTATTAAAAAAAAAATCTTGTCAGTACCTTAGGAAATGTAGAGAAAAAAGTAGATGGGGTTTGCATACTGATGTTTGGGTGTAAAGGGCTCACAGAAGTTTGTGAAACTAATGTTTTTCGGCTTCAAATTCAACGCAATAAAAACGCTAGTTAGTGACATCCGAACCCATCTGAAATTCAGTTTCTCAGTTTTCTGGTTTTTAAACAAGTTAACCTTATTTATCTAAAAAGGTTTTGCTGCTATGAATAAGTCATAGGTCTCTCTTTACATGTCTTCATGGAAAGGGTATTGATCACAATATTCAAAACACGCCCTCCAATTTACACTCGCAGTCAGGTACTGACCTGGGACAACAGAAGATGACCCAGACGAATTATTTTCACTTGGAGCATCTGATAAAAGCTCTGTAGAAGCCATTCCACGGGTTGCGTTCACTTCTGATTGCAGAATGCTGATTCTACTCACAGATGACACGCGGGACAAAGTGCCCGGTTGAAGCTCTACATCAAGGTCTGGAACTAGTCTGAGACGTGAGAGAGATGAAGAAAGTTGGCAAATTTTAACCTCAGGGTAATTTAGTATTATTAACTGAGTTGATAACGTAAATTGGCCACGGCAGAGTTTCAAAGCTGGCGTTTCAAGCGTTAGCCCTTCGTCAGAGCGAAAGACGTCAGCCATTCGTTCTGACGAAGGGCTAGCACTCGAGACGTCAGCTTTGAAACTCTTTTCGGTGGCCAATCTGCGCTTTAAACTCAGTTGATAATACTAAATTACCCAGTTATACTCTCCCACCGACGCAGCACCACAGTTTCTCTGGAAACTCACGCCCTTTATAAAATTTAATTTTAAACTTAGTTATCGAATAAAAATAATACTAATAAGATGAACAAAACTGAAGAAAATAAAATGAGAACATGGGTTTGAACCCTGTCAAAGCCTGAATATTTTCAGGCTCTTTTTTCTGCAATGTATTTCATCGCTGTTACTCCACAAGAACGTAACTTGTACTTGTACATACCTTGTGATGTCTCTCATGAAGCTCGTCATAATGCCATGGTAATTGGCGAGAGACGGCAGCTGCATCACTGTTACCAGGTAACCATCGGAGCTCAAAACAACAGGCAGGTGAGGATGGACAGACACAGAGAACCTCTGGGAGAGAGGATCCTTTTCTGAAGTACAGGACTCTGAGGAGTCTGAATGAAAACCATTTGCGGACTTCCTGCATAAGGAAAAATTTGTCTCTGGGAGGTGAGCTGCATAAATGTAGTTTTATGGTTGTACAACTAACTAATACAGAAATCAGATAATTTTCAAGTGACTGTCGAAATAATTCCTAATTGCAATGACTTTTCATCCGCTTGCTGTAGGAGTGGCCCACACAATCAGGCCAGTCTCTCGATCAATCAAATTCTAAAATTAAGCGAATGACGTTAAGCCCTTGTTTTCCGTGCATGAAGGCACTTAACTTGTTTCCACTTTTGGATTGGTATCAATGCCAATTTAGGAGGAAAAAAGGATGATGAATTTTAGAAGACTTAACTACTCCAAATAGACAAACACAGAGGTGCACTTACTGAAATGTTATCTTAGGGTGGAGAGGAAGAAACAGAGAAGGACCTGTATGCAAAGAACAACCTTCTGTACAAATCTCTAGAGGTTCTCCAAGCTTACTTAAAACAGCTACAGAGCCACGGCGCGTGATACAGAGCACCAGAAGACTATCTCTGGTCCAAGCCATGTCTGCAATCCACCAAGATCTGAAAATTGAAATGTAGGGTTATTTTCCATTGCTGACCATTCAATTATACCCTCCACTCAATAAAAGGGGTAAGTTTCTTATAGAAGAAACTGTAGTGCTGACTGTCAGTGGGAGAGTAAAACAGGGTAATTTAGTATTATCAACTGAGTTGATAACGTAAATTGGCCAATTTATGTTATATAATAAGCTCAGTTATGCACGCATTCTGATTAGTTCTCACTTATGATCTATTGGAGGACAGATGTATAGATGTCGTCATCATTAAAACTTTTTTTAATTCTTTATTATATAAAACAAATAGATTCCAAGTTGCCATGCGTCTGTTCAGTAATAGATCACAGAGGATGTCAAAATGTGGTAAGAACATCAGTGACACTCAGCTGCGCCTCGTGTGCTACTTTTTTGTTCTTACCACATTTTGACGTCCTCTGTGATCTATTACTGAACAGACGCATGGCAACTTGGAATCTATTTGTTAATTATCAACTAAGTTGACAATATTAAATTACCCTCCACTCAAAAGATTCATTCAAGGTAACATTAAAATATGGAAATTAAAAAAAATGAAACAAATGTTTTGTCATTTTGGGCAATAAAGGTCAGGTTGTAGTACTTTAAGCCCCTACAGAGATCTCTCACCCTAAAATCACACAATGCAACCACAACACATGCTAACTACCCATATTTATTTGAAACTTACATTTAACAGAGTCTGATTGTGGTATTTATTTGATAAGCAATACTTTTTTCCACTACAAATTTGAAATCTGATTTTTAAAAACTTACTTCCCAATAGGTGAGTGGCCATTAACATTCTTTTTGGCTCCACAGTCCTTCAAGTCAGCAATCACAGCCACGGCAGTCTGTGACAGTGAGTAAAACATGACTCTGTTGTGTGCAGCAAACTTCTGATTCATGGCCAACACCATGACTTGACCATCTGGAGATATTCTGGCAATGTAGGCCTTTCTGCTCTTCATGACTCTTTCAGCAGGTGTCAGATTGCACAAGGAGTGTTTGAAGGTTTGCCATGTGGCAGAGAAGGGGGGATCTAGACCTGCAAGAATTATTATCACCTACTAAATTTTAAGAAATAAATGAAATAATAATTTGGTGTGCCAATAATAATGAGTAATAAAAAGATCCTCTCAGGTGAATTGTGGAAAGAACAAAGAACCCTCATGAATTTTTCTCACTCCCAATACAAGCCTTCATAACTCAGTTGGTACTAGTGCCTAACTAGTGTCAGGCTGGGTTGTCATCAGAAAATTTAATAGAGTTGTATCATTTGGATAGAGTAGGTGCTAAATTTAATTGTGCTTGCATGGCAAAGCAACAAGCCCTTCTAGAGGGCCTATGGGCATGTTCCCCTGCATTTCCTGCATCCTGAGACATATTTGAGTAACTTATTTAAGCCAGACATTGATTAATGATAGAATCACTTCCAAAATGATTTATTTGCATCTTTGATCATAATTCACAAAGCAGCCAGTGCAACTGGTCTGAAAACCTACAGACTTCTCACGACAACCTTGATTAGGGAGGCACAGGTTCCAATCCCCCCAAAGCCTGAATTTTGTGGCCCTTTTTTTAGCAAATTCATTAATTAAAGTCCACCTGTGAGGACGGTGACTTATTCACCAGAGAGCAATTTATCTGTTGAATAGCATCATCCACTCTTTATATAACTGTGCTCAGGTCGCTGTGTTACATTCTAAGAAAATATACTTAACCCATGCATAACTTCTCCCCCTTCAGGAATCTATTAAATATTTTTGTGTATAATTGGACCACATTTACTTTTTAAAAAATAGCACCACACCCAGAAAGAGAACTGATGCTCTTACTCACTTACAGCTAATAAGAGAAATTTGGATAATCTCGGATCAACGACATACCTTCTTCAATCTGAGGGTTGGAGACTCCCTCCTGAAAGGTGTAGCTTTTTCCTTGCCATAGCAGGTGAAGTGTTGTGACATGGATTCTGTCACCCAAGTTGAAAACCCAGGATAATGAAAAGGATGTACCACAAACCTAAAACAGAATCAAAGAAAAACAATTAAACTGCATGCATTTACCTCAGGTGCGTTCATGTAAGAGAAGGTAAACATGGTTATGCAAACTGAAGTGTGTTCCAGTGAAAGTACATGATGGTTCAACATGATTGAGATTTTTTTAATTTTTGTATATTTTCAAAAGAAAGTTTTTATAAAGCATTTAATATCATTAAGAGAAATAACCTTATGATATTAAGCTGGAAGAAATCTTCAAAATTATGCAAACTCTCATTTGCATCTTGGATTTGCATAACCTTCTGGAATTCACCAAATTCCTTTCATGTTTGGCTGAGAGGCTAGTACTTTAACACACTAAAAAAAGTTTTTAACACTAAAATCTTATGCATCCTTCCAAACACAAGGTAAAAATCACTTAGGACAATAAGGATGAGAGATCATCAAGTTAGAGTGTTGGCTTTTAATGATATGAACATGTATTATGCATCAGCATAGCCTGTACATGTAGGCTTAAATGTAGTACAGATGGTTTAATTGGAAGGTCTTTGATTTAAAATCTTTACTGAACTCAAGAAGACTGATTTTTTCCTTCACATTTTCAGATCTGTGTGGTTTTCTGCTATTGAGTTATCTACCAATATATCAAACATAATTCCAGTAAGATTTCCTTAACAGTCTTAAATGTGACTGATACTTACTGGATCAACAAAGAAGACTCCATCAATTGCTGTTTCTTTGTCCTTTTCATGAGGAAGAACATAACCTCCACACTGAATCTGATGCCATGTGCCTCGCAAGATGTCTCCAACTGCTGGTTGCATGTAAGGATAATTAAGATAAAATCAAACTCATTTATGGTAACATTAAATTGACATTCATATTAATTCATGTACCTACCACCAGTACTGTTCACAAGATCATTGTTGTTCTGTGTTTCCCAAAGAAAAATGTGACGAAATCCAGACAGAAGAACAACTTTTCTGCCACAGTCTGAAATGTACAGCCGAGGGCTGGTTTGTCCTGAAACACAACAATGAGTGATAATAATGCACAAGATTTTGAACAATGGTTATGAACATTGCAATCAAGATCTCTGGTCAAACATTACCAGGGAGAAAATTAGAGAGCACTTATTAATTACGATGACTTTTTGAGATAACCACACAAGAAATACACAAAGAAAAAAAGACATGAATCAAATAACATATGCCAATTCTCTTAATAAAGAACTAATCTCTTTGTTACCCATAAAATTCCCTCAATCTTTGAGACTTAAAAAACATCTGGTTTAAAATTTCTTTACAATATATCAATTAACCCTGTAACTTCCCTGAGTGACCAAGACAAAATTTCTCTTTACAACATCATTCAATTAAATATCAAGCAGACAAGTAATGAGTATTAAGAAAAATATCAGTCAGGGAATTTTTGTGTGTAACTGATCCATGACAAAATTCTCCAAAGTAACATCATAGAATTGTAGACATACAGTAAGAAGAATTTCTAAAGAGAACTACAGAAAGTGAAAGGGTTGAAAAAGGGAAATTATTTGAGTAGATTTTGTCATCATCAAAAATATTTAGGTTGTCCGTTCAAGAATAGGCATATTATTGTTGTGTGCATTTGTATACAGTCTACAGTCTAAACGCAAATCTAAAGGGAGTGGCAGAAGAGGGTTAACAAAGATTAAGATGATCTTGATCAGGTTGATAATTGACAGATATAACACCTCAGGAAGACACATTTTAATAGAAAGTGAACAGACAAATAAGTGGGTATTTCTCTCCGCTCACTTGTTCCAGGCTGCACATTTCTTATCTTGTCCAACACAGCTGTCAACTTGACTGTTCCTGATTTTTTGTTCCAGATAAAGACTTTGCCTGAATTTAATGCTCCAGCCACGAAAAAACCTGCAAAACAACAAATCAAGATAACGAGAAATTAATAATGTCAGTCAAAATGCCCATCTTTTTTATAAACTTTGAACAATAGTTGTATCACAATACATGTAGTGCAATAGTTTTTATTGACTCTCCTCCTAAGAGAGTATTCTAAGTTAATTCACAACACTTTTTATGGGACTTTAGCTAAGAGTACATTGAGAAGTTTACATGCACAATCTTTTTCAAAGAATTTTTTTGCGAGTGCCCCTAATTTTAAAAATTTTTAAAAAAATTTTAATTTTAAAATCAAGGCCACATTACAACACTGGGAGCTTTGTTCTCTACTCTTTGCAAAAAGTGCATGGGTTCTTTAGAGTCCCCTGGTAACCAGCACAGTGAAGATACATGAAGGAGACAGGGCCAATGGCTTATTGAACTTATCCAAGAAGAATAGAAAATCTAATCATTTTCAGATGTCAAATCAAAGGCAGCACATTCTCCTCTGTTCTGTAAGACCCTGACTTTTGTTGCAGTCTGGGGCAAGAGGAAGCTGAAAAATTACATCTAGTTTATACCTGATCCCCATCATAACTTTGTTCTTCTTGACTGTCTGGGATGATCTATTTAAATTTCTTACCATTAGCTGAGATTCCGAAGCCTTGCACATCGTCCAGATAATTTTGAATTGCAGGAATTTTTTTCCTTGTTTTTCCTGAAGGCAAATACAGTTGACTGAGGCGGCGTGAGTCAAACAGGTACAGATCTCCAACATCCTGGAACAGACAGCAAAAAAATTATCAGACTAGTTGCAGTTATATATCCAGACACTAAAGAGCAATGTTAATGGCTACTTTTGTTATTGTCTTCTCTTAAGTTTACAATGTGATTCGATCAATATCAATTTCGTAATACTGAATTCTGCCCTGGCCGGTAAAAAATATATATTTATGAAAGGCATGGTTTTAGATTTAAACCAATCATTAAGAATGAATATGGTTTAATTTTTCTCTTAAAGTTTTCTATGGTATGGAAAATTCCAACAGGAGTACAGCACAGTAGAACAGCGTCTGGATTATTTTCCATTCCAAACTCACCTTGCCAAGCCAAGACAAAGTCGGCCACGGTTTCTTTCTTTTGATCGTAGTCGAAGAAAGGACGTCGAGTTTCAGTAACATAATATGTGAAATCTATGGAGCATATTTTTTTTTTCGTGAACTATCCTTGCATTCAGCTAGGAGAGTTTTAACTGCTTGAACAACATTGAGCATTTTGTACACAAACATTTATGTTGTCCGCCATTTTTGTTAACTGACCACATTAGTTACCAGCCTTCTTTCGTCCGCTCTTGTTTGATCAAATATTTGCAAAACCGAATATTTGTGGGATACTGAGGAATTTACTCGGGGAAAATAGGTTATATTCAGAAAAACAAACCAGTGGAACAACGACGGTTGCAATTAAAGAAAATTCTGAGGAAAAATTCTATAAATAGAGACTACGAACGAGGAGAAGAATTAAAGCAGTGAGCTATTTTCGGAAACACATGAAAACTGGTAACTAAAAACATGGCGGGCGGCATCGCAGGTAATATGTTGCGAGATATTTCTGTGATTTCTTTTATTATTTGTGATGTTTATAGGCATGTTCGAAAGAACCTGCTTCATCTGTAAATATCTTAAATTTCCTTTCTTTCGTTTCATGTCTTCCTCTTCCACATGAATGACAATTTAGCGTAAGTATGACATTTTGTTGAGATTGAGCTGCTTTCGATCGTGGCAGATTTATAATCTTTGTTGTATTTCCTGTTGATTTAAAGCATTCAGTGAAATTAAGAGCCGTAATTTGTCGTCATTTCCTTTTGATTTCAAACTCTCAGTGAAATTCAGAACCGAAATCTTTTCTCTTGCATGGTAGAATCATCGCTCTTTCTTTTTCCGCGGCAATTGGTGTACTACTCGTCGTTCTTGGGTGTGCTTTGGAAGAATACGGGTGAGTAGAGAGGTGTTGAAAGTTTCTAGAACATTACTTGTAAATTAAAAATATACAGTTTTGCTATTTAATCGAACCCTTTTCATTGACTTGGGTCAAAGTGTTTGAATTACGCATCCTCCTTACAAATTGTCTTCCTCGCCTTGTAAGGATTGCTAGATATCGTTAACTATTATTTGTTTGTCCTTCATCATTGCAGGGTATGGTGGCCTTTGTTTGTGTGTAAGTAAACTCTTGAAATTATAAAGTAGAGCACTGTAGTTAAACTAGGGTGAAAGGACACACAATACCAGAACAGTGCTAGTATCTGAACAGCTGCACACCAATTCTACCCTATTACCCAAGAGCAGTCAACTGATAGCATTTTGCAAAAATGAAAGAGAGGAAAATAATTAGACATGGTTTGATGCTACTCTGATTTAAAGATCTGCCAAACCTAAGGATCCTGTCACATAAGAACAATGAACCAATGCTATTTATTCTATTCCGCACAATGACTGTGATCATAAGTATATTGGACAGACCAAGCATCAGTTTGGTACACATTTGAAAGAGCATCAAAAAGTGGTCTTCTTTTGCAAAAAAGAAAATTCAGCTTTGTTGGAGCACACATGCCCATCCAAACATACAATTGGGTAGGATGATTCTAAAATTATCACCACTAATCGACATTACCACCAATGCCTTTGTTTGGAAGCCAGGCATATCAACTTCACCCATGCTCCTTTTAATCATGATGATGGTGGCTTACTTCCAGACACCTATTTACACCTCGTCAGAGAAAAGGGCAGCTTATTAGTGAGTGTATAAAAGGACCTGTTGTTACAGCATTTAGATCACCCCTGGTGAAGGTACTAGACAGTAGTGTCAAAATATTGGGTCTATGAATTGTAACTTCCTGGTTACATTCATTAAATTTTTAAACCAGAATAGCATCAAACTATGTCTGATTGTTCACCTGGTTGCCATGTGAACTTTAAAATAGGGAAACAAATATTCAAATTAACAGGAAGTGCTTGAAAATCCCAACTGGCAGGAGGCAGACTAAGGACTTAAACCCAGGACTACCAGATCACAATTACAGCACCCTAACCACCCTAACTGAAATTTCTTTTTAATTAAAGATGGGACAGTTAATTTTATTTTATTCATAATGAAATTACTGCTGTTCTCCTTGCAGTGTTTTTTTACGCCCTAGCCCCAATACCAACTGTCATTGCCAAAAGATTTTGTGAAGATTTTTCGTCCAATGCTGCCAGGTAAGTAACTACGCTATGAAAGCAAATAAACATATGGCGAAAGAAACACGACTGCTTATGAACCAAAAAATAGATGCATTTTAAATGAATAGATAAATAAGGAGACATCATTTCAGCAGCAGAATGGATGACTGCATTTTACAGCCAATTAAATTTGTCATCTTTTTTGCAGTTAATTGGAGATAGTATTCAATACTCAGATTGAATTTGTTTGTCTTGCGATATGTAGCAGAAACCCATAGATAGGAACCTTTGTTAGTATTTTTTCAAATTAGCCTCCATAATTTCTTGATATGAATAATGTTTACTTTGAAACTAGGCTACTTATGTTCTTAATCAGGTTCTTAATTCTTGTTTACAAAAAAAAAACAAAAAACAAAAAACAAACAACAAGTGTATTCTTGGATGTGGGTGTAATACAGTGCTGTATGCCAGCCCTATAGTGCCTTGCTTGGTTAAGTTATTCACACAGTTGGGTATGTTGTGTGGCTACGGAGCTATTATCAGTACAATGTTACGGTCTTTTAACTTAGCCAGTATTCTGGGTAGTTTTTGTTACAGTTTTTGTATCGCATATGATTTACTGTTTTGTATTTAAAAAAATGCTATTTTCTAAAAAAAATGAGAACCAAGCTGTGTTGAGATTGTACCCTACAATGGTTCTTATGTGAAGGATGCTTAACTGGGAAATTTTAGCTTGACAGGTTCTCAAATTTTAGGTCTTTAAAAGCAGGTTCTTACTGTGTTTGGAAATTATTTCAATATTTCACAATTAAATTTTGTCATATCATTCAAGCTCTGTGATAGGAAAGATGGCTTAAGTTTCTACTCACAACAATGGGTCAAGACAAGCGTAACCAAATAAAACACATGCAATTTGCACAGTCAAAATAGTGCAAGTCAAAATAGTACAAGAACAGACACAAACAACAACACTACATAAGTACTTTTGGGAACTAATGCCCCAGAAAACTTGCATAAACCAACTACTGAACCATCCGATTGATGAAAAGATGTTTTACAAGAAGAAGGGGTTAATTTCTTGTGCCTTGAGAAGCAGAACACTGTCAAGCTCAAGAGGGTTGGGTGCATTTGAGGATAGAAATGAATTAAGGGTGATCAGTAACAAAAAACCTGGTTATCTGCAGAAACCATGTAACTAGACCCACAACAGTACCAAGACTTGAATATGAAATCCTTCTTCACAATAATGAACACTACTTAAGTAATAGTGAAAATAAAGCCTGAAAAAATTCAGGCCTTTATGGGATTTGAACCCATGACCTTTGTGACACAGGTGCAGTGCTCTACCAACAGAGCTAACAAGCAATCAGGAGCTAGTCATCATGTTAATTCATAAGAAAACCTGTGAAATGATGAATCAATGACTGTAAATATGTGAAAATCATATATGAACTGCAGATTAAGAAATGAATATGAGGCAATCTTTGTAGTAATAAAGTTCAATGCTACTTAGGAAGTGTTTCACAGGTTTTGTGCAAACCAGCATTACATCATGACCAGCTTCCAGTTGGCTTGTCAGCTCAGTTTTTAGAGCACTGCATGGGTATTGCAGATGGTATGGGTTCAAATCCTGTACAGGCCTGAATTTTTTCAGGCCTTATTTTTCACTACTGCGTAAATAGTGTTCATTGCTGTGAAGATTGCTTTCATATTCACTTCTTTATCAGCAGTTAACATATATGATCTTCACACATTCACAGTCATTGAAGTACCAAGACAACCTCTTATTTGCATAGATCAGCTCATTTGGGCATGTCCTCCTATCAATCTGTTCTTGACTCTTGTAGGGGACCTTCACAGAAAAGAGTCGGAAAATGGGTGTAGTTGTTTGAGAAAATTTCTACTGCATATCAACTGTCTTTTTATATTATTTCAGTATTGTTAAAGAAATTGCAATGTTTTTCACTGCTGGAATTGTTGTCTCAGGGTTTGGTGAGTTCATTTTGTTGCTATCATTGTAAGTAATTTGTAAAAACCTCACTAAGTGGGACATACTTTAGACTTGAAAATAAAAAACATCTACATGTATTCAGTTCCATTTAGTTATTCAAGTAAAAAGGCTTATGAAAATTTTCTTTTGATTTCTCTTCAGGTCTTCCAATAGTTCTTGCACATAGTGAAATTGTGAGTAGAATTTTATAATACTGTATTCTTATTACAGGTGAACAGCTGTATTGCTGCTAGGCTGGGTAATGTCTGCAGTTAGTAGATTCAGCAACTCATCTAATTTGATTTTCAATGGTCCTCCTTGGTTTGATTCAAGTCATTGCCAAAGTAATTAAAAATACTGAAATTCCTAACCTTAAGTTTGATTCTTCCAGACTGCTTTACCAACAGTCAGATCCCTAAAGCTCACTCACCTTTTGTTTACTGCGTTGTCTAACCCCTTCTGGAGTTTCAAAATAATGTGCTGTTGCTTTTGGGTAGCCTTTTCCCCTTGCCAAAGCAGAAGAGACATGGAGTATTTCTACTCCCCCTGGATGGGATTTTAGTTCATCACAACCCCCCTTGCTAAGTTTAGCCTTGCCCCCCTCCCCTCCCACCTCATTTCTTTTTAGATCCACTATAGTGTCCCAATACCCAATTAATTTACCTTTTGCAGAGAGTTGAGGGTTTTAGAAATACCTTTATTTTTCCCAAAAACTAAACAAAGTTACACTGATCAGGGTTCTGCAGGACCCTTTCAATTCAAACTTCTGGTTTTTTTGCTTATTAGAGTTTCTCTTCCTTGTCTAGATAAAATGGGGAGCTATGGCATTGGTGTCATCTGGAAACGTCTTCATCTTTGTAACAATTCTGATTTATTTTATTGTTTTCTCTGGTGAAGATGACTGGGGCTTTTGAAGAGACACCAGTTGTACACTTCTCATTTTTTTTTTAAGTGTATAAAGTATTGCAATTATCATTTTGTACAGAATGATTGAGGTTTGTGAACAATTTAACTTTTTGTGAACAATTTAACTTTTTGTGATAACATCAGAACCATATTCTGAGATGTTTCAGGCCCTCAAAAGGGAACTTCCAAATTAGAATTGGATGTACAGTTTTTGTTAAAATTGACAGAAGCAAGTGGGCTTCTGATGAGAGAATTAGAAGATTATTTAGTGTAACCTGGTTCTTTAAAGGGAGGAAAAGGGAAGACTTTAAGTTTATGTGACACCCACAAAATAAGCGATGGAGTCCCTGACAAAAAATTAATCATATTGCCCTCCCAGTTTTCTCATTAGGTCATGGGAGTGAAATTTCTGGGCACGTATGCTATATATAATAAGTGATAGGTTTCCTTTGAAGTGGAAAAAGTGCTCAAATTATGCTAAATTTTAAAAGCTTACTTTTAAGGGATTAACTGTAATGATTGTATAATACAGTACCATTAAATGAAAGTTTTCAGGACAAATCTGTTTCAATTTGTTTTTTAATGCCAATTTCAACCCTACAAAATACTATTTGCACTTATTATGAACCTTATATGCAATCAAATACAATTAAGCAGAGTTAACAACATCAGCATTCCATAGTAGTCAAGGGTTTTTTGCATATACGCGTGTTGGAATTCCATGTACTCTGCATTTGAGGCGTTCTTGCTTGTGCTTTGAGCATGAACTTTAATCATTGTTTGGAGTGGCAGCTCTTTGTCCAGGCAGTTTTCCCCACCCCTTCCTTCCCTCCCTCTCTCTACTGTTTATTCAGTGTGACAGGTGCCTGTTTCCCTTTCCTGCGTGGGGGTTCATGACTGGGTTGCCAGGATTTGCCAGATATGGGAGCAGTCTCCATCTAGGAGCTGGCTGCCAATGGGGGAAGCTCATGGATATCTCAGGCACCCAGCCTCCACCAAGCAATGCAGTTGTTAAATGGCCGTTTCCACAACTGAACTCCCAAATGTGAATGACAACTAACTCCTCCCTTTAATGCATTTGCCATGCACCCAGAGGAGTAGCTGTTTTAGCTTTCCCTTTTCTTCTTCATTACCTCCTACATTTCTCTTCATCACCTCTCAAATCATCATTTCAGGTTGGCTGTTTACCTGTTCTTAGATGGATTGATGAGTGATTTTTTGTTTTCATTCCCACTTTAAATATATATATCAATTTATTTTGAATAATTATTTAATTCAGTCATTTGTTTACTCATTTATATATTGATAAATGTGTATCCACTGACGTTTTTTACAACTTATTTGTTGCTCAGTTGGAGAACACGAACCATTGATTGTTATTCAATTTTGCAATTAACCCTTAACTCCCAAGATTTCATTAGAAATTCTTATTACTGTCTGTCATACAATTTTATGTAATGTTAGTTTGGAGAGTTTGGAATTGGATCAAACATCCATCCCCTAATTGCTATTTTTCTTTTTTCTCATTACTTGTCTGCTTGATATTGTACTGATAGTGTGAGGAGAAATTCTGTCTTGGTCATTAATGGGACTTAAAGGGTTAATGATTGTTTAACAGATGCTTTCACAGCTTCCATTAAACGACAGTTCCAAACGCGATCGACCTACGGGCGCCAGGAAAAAGCATGTGGCCTACTAGAAAGCGGAAAGTTATAACATTTAGGAAGAACCATGAAACTCCAAGCGAAAAACAAAAAGTGATCCTGCTTTGTAAACACATTTTGAAAAGGTCACACCACATCAATAGAACTGAAAATCAGAGACCAAATTCAAAAGCGTAAAATGGCTGAGAACCAATAACTAAAAATTTAATAAAGATTGCTGGAGACCAAAGAGAGGTTTTAGAAAAACCTAATACCATTTTGGCCGTAAAGGTACACTCCTAAGGTGTAAGCTAACCCTATCGGCGCCACCTAAGAATAATTTATTCTGTTTCAAAGATTTTCAAGCGTGTTTGTTGTCAATGACCCAGACGAAACTCGATCGTGTGTAATTCACGTGAAAAGGATCTGATCTTTTTTCACAATCTTTGAACCTTTGATCTGCAATCAAATGCAGTATCAGTAGCACATCACCTTGTTTCTTCTGTAGACATTTGTGATCACGAAATAATATTGATCTGTTTTAAACATTTGGATCTAGTAGTACTGGGCGGGAGATGATCACTGCTGAAGAGCATGCACATTTCATGCAGCAGAATGGAGTTGCCAGAGTTATGAATAGGTAGCAAGCAGACTTGACCACTGGGAAAACAGCGTAATACATACACTTTGCCGTATGTGGTGTGTCCGGAGCTGGAAAGTCTAGTTTTCTTAACAGCATACGAAGGTAAATACAACATTACACCCATGCAGACCAAGGGCGCACTGAGCAGTACAATAGTAAAAAAAAATTAGTTTTGCGCAGTACCAACAGCCTGTCCGATATTTTATTATTGTAGTTCCCTAAAAAGATAACACTGGTTTCAGTTTAGAAGAAGTCAAATACAAGTGCATGTAACATAATTAATATAAAGCAACGGGCACCCAAACGGTGGTGTTTTTATTCCTAACTGAAGTTGCTAAGGCCAAATATAAGATTTTGTAGACTTGTAATTTGCAAATACATGTATTTCAACGTTTGTTCCTGCGATGTTTGTGCTAGACTTGATAACATTCGTGAAGACACCGCAGAGGTCGATGTCGAAGAGAGCATTTAAGAGCCGAAATGTTACGTGCATCCCAGCAACCCCAAAATCAAGTTTTGGAACTTACCAGGGATAACAGAGCAGCGGCGTTTAAGGGTGATCTGGAGAAGTACTTCAAACTTTAAATGTGCGGCTGGATACGTTCCATACCTACCTCAATAATCTTTGTCAAAGATCAATTCACCGCTGAATACTTAAAACTTGCGGAGATGATTCAATCAAATGGTAAGAAGTTTTCCTTCATTCGTGCAAGAATTGATCAACATGTTGAGAATGCGAGGAGAAGCAGACAGCATTTATTTAATGAAGACGCCATTCTGGAGAAAAAACGAAAGAACTGTGCGAAAACTTAATTAGAGGAAGCCTCCCCGGTGATGAGAAGGAAATGTTTTTGATAAGCAGCCACTACCATTCGAAGTATGACTTTGATATAATCTCCCAAACAATTACAGCTATTTTGCCGAAGCGTCAATGAGAGGTTCATGTTCTGGCCTTTACTCAAAGATTGAATGCTGAAATAAACTTTACATTACTTCTGTTCAGTGTTAGTGCATCAGCTCTTGCTACATGTGTTTAAATTGCCGGGGGAACCATCGCCGCTGATATCGTGCTGTTACGAAGAGAAATTTACTTTTAGAAGAAAAGCCACTTCGTCTTCCAGAAGAAAGGTTAGATAACTTTTCATTACTGAGTATCAAGACCCAAAATAAAGTGAAGGCATTAAGCACAATTTTTGGCTGTGCAGCGCGAATCGGCGCGCTTCAGTGCAGCCCATGCTCCACTGGGCACTGTCAGAAAAGAACACACCTCATCCCGTTTATTGGTGTAGCTGTCGCAAGCACCTTTTTCTTTCGGTGCAACATATTACTTTCTGCAAACACTGGAAGATATAGAAAAACTCGCTATTGAGGTGCTAAGAATAACACCATTGAAAACCAAACCCAATCAACTTTCATTAAGAGAAAATAAAGCTCCTTTTACTTTCTCTTGTTTTCATTATTAACCTGACTTATAATATTTGACTTCATTGCAAATTCTTGAAAACAAGGCCCAAGAAAAAAGCTAGGTACAGACGGAATTGGCTGTTGATGCATTGCGAAATTACGTGGTAATGAAACCATTATGTTGGCGGAATGTCTGAGGAGTGTTATTGTAATAACGATTGAGCGAAAAAGGTCATTTTGGGTGTTGATGTTGTATTTCAAATAACAGAATTGTATGTTTATCAAGTTGTTTTTAATGACACGGTTACAATTTTTTCTCACACCAGAAATCGTTACTGAACTTTTTCAATGAGCATCATTTGCTCCCAATCCTACGACCTAATATCGTCGGGAATGTAAGATTACATTAGTATCGATTTCGAAACTACTATTCCGGAAACGTTTTAGCAAAATGTTGTTCATCGTGGTTTTATAGATAAAGGAACGTTTAATCGTTTGTCTCACAATGTAAGAGTCAGGTTAATCAATCGTGTATTGATCAAAACGTTGGACAGCTATACTACTGGCCTTCGTCAAGCGCCGAGGTCGAAAGTTTACGTGTCACTATTAATAGCAGCTTGGTTTGTTGTCGTTGGCTTTTTTTTTGGCACGCTGTGCATTTCGATCCTTGTTATTTTTTCAACCATAAGATATTGTTTCCTCGCTTTGATATCGATCGGTTGTTATTAGATTAAACGAATTACGAAAGTCTACAGACTCGGCAGTCTAACATTATCAATCTTTTTCCTTCACCAGGGAAAGAAATTGACTGGAGGATAAAAAGTCAGCAAAATGACCAGAAATGATTGCTACGTCTCACAAATATCCGAAAAATTACTGTCCGTTAGAATTAGCAACAAATAAAAGTAAGTTGAATGCTGGGAATGAGGCGTTTAAAAGACGATTGTAAGAGAACAGAAGAATTCATATTGATATTT